AAAAGTGCTCACCTCTACGTGGTCACCAGCAGCCACGATAGCTGGAAGACTATGGAGTAAGGCATCAGGGCTATATGAGGTGGAGACTGGACAACTTCCAGTGGTGAGGAGGAATGCTGAGCCTGGCTGGTACTGGGGGTCTGCAGAACAATATGGACACCATGTATTAGATGTATCAACATCAGCAGCTTTCTACGTACACCTGAGAAAAGTGTAGGAGCACACAAGATAGTGAAGGCTATAATGTGGCAAATACATGTTCTCCTTCTGATGTACTGTACATATAATTACACAGCCAGTCACGTGTAAGCTCCTGTGTGAGTGTGTCAATGGTAGATGATTTGGCTTCTTGTCTCGCTTCCCGTACTACAGCCTCCTTGGCCTCTGCTACAACTGGCTCTAGTGTTGTATTCCAACAGTGCTACAAGCTAGGGAGCTCCCCTAGAATGCTTCTATAAATGAAAAAGCACTGAAGTGCAAACCCTTGGCGAACTGCGCTTGCGCGATACCGCTAATGTATGGGCCGGGCTGTAGTATGCGTTTACTCGTGATCTCCCGCTAGTAGCTCACAGAGAGTCTGACACGGGCTAGCTACAGTAGTAGATAGCATGCGGGAGTCGATACACGGCCTTCGTTGTGACGTCTTGTGCCTCCAAGGTATGCAGATCAAGCACATCTGGTCGAGGTAAGCCCGTGCTAATTTGCATATTGGCTTGTTCACTTGCTTTTCACGCCATAACTTTTGAACGCTGTGTTTTTACGAAAATCGCCAGTTTTAAAATGAAGCAAATGTAGCGCCGAACCCGTTGCTGTAGAGTTTTGGCGATCTTGTTGCGTCTAGTGGCAGAAAACGTGAACGGACACACAGACACACAGACACACAAAACAAGTACAGTAACCCTCGCTGCGCATGCACGCCGAGGGTTAAATATCATTGCTTAATGGGGAGTGCTGAACTAGCTCCATACTATAATATTCATAGGTCTCATGACTTATGAATATACTACCATAGGAGCAATATGTACATACAATTGTTTACTGTCAGAAAGTTACTGTAGACCACAGCGTATCCTATTTCTAGGGGACATTCCCCAAAAATATATGTATGTAATTCCCTTCCTGAACAAGTGCCCAATAACTAGACTAACTGGATCCATAATTAACGTATACCTGTCGGAGATCCACAATCCTCACGTCCTGTACGACACTCATGGAATCTCTCTCCTTCGTTCTGATCCACTGGAGATACTTTCCACGGCACGAGTGCCTCCTCCTTCACCTCTGACAACCCAAATACCCTCATGAGCTCCGCCACCAGTTCACTGCTAGCGATCCCAGCCGCCGATGGCTCGGCCCTCACACAGTACACATCATACACAACCCCTAGATCTCTCTCCTGCCCTCCCTCCTCCCCTCCTCTTTCTCCTCCTCCGCTCTTTACAGACACGAAGTAGACTTTCCGTCGTAGCTCAGGTGAAAACACGTCGGTTGTGAGGACCTCGACTGCCTTGTCCAGTACAAAGTCGTGCAGGTCCGATTCGTGAGCACGGCCGACTAGCTGTCGTTGATATGGACCGAGGAGTGTACGGACACCACCGATCTCAAGGTGAACTCTGATGTTGACTATCATGGTCTGCTGGCATCAATGATCTGAATACAAAACAACATTCACGTAGTGGATGGAGTAACGACTCGATAGGATCGTTTTACTTCGTAGCTAGAGAGGCAAACGTTTTTGCTGATCAAAGCACATATCCTTTCGCTAGAGCACAGCGCGCATGCGCATGTTGTATTCTCATACAGCTCTCTCGGTCACAAGTAGGAGGACCTAATGTTGGGACGCTGATCTTTCCAATGGAGCTCAGAGGAGCAAGGGCTGACCAAGGTGGTCATTGTCATACAGCTGAGCGGTTTATAAAGGCTCACTCTATTCCACAGACAAGTGAGGTCAAAGGTAGATATAAGTATCGCTGACTGATGAGTTTAGAAAAAACGTAAGCCGTTCAATGCTTGTGTTTACATTTTGAAAAACCCGATAATTACAGTGGCTTTAGCTACAATGAACCTTTTGCCCGCTCAGGAGCTCAGCATTGTTGATGATCGTGTAGAAGACAACTATAATCTTTGTTGATCAACGGCTGAGAGCCTGAGGATATGCGCATGCGCGCAATGTCCGCGTACGGAAGTGTGCAAAAAAGCCCCGGCCTGTTGGCACGACTAGTTTCCCGGTCTCTTACCTCAGTCTCTACCGCTTCCAAATTAAGAAACTGTGATGGATCAATCATTGGAATACAAAGCTTTGCGAAAGGGTGCTACTATCCTGAAGTGCTGCGTAAGCCCAGACGATATCGTCACTCCGCTCTTCGACAAGGAACTCCTTACCCCTCAAGAGCGCGACCGGGCTAACGCAACTCATTTAACTCCGAATCAGAGAATGGAAGAAGTATACTTGGCCCTAGAGAGACGGGTGACAGTTAATTAAGCCCGCGGCAATTCACACGATAATCGACATACTAAAAAACGAGCCAGCATTAGCTCCGGTGGCAGAAAAACTAAAGAAACTCTGGATCGCAGAACACCCTACCTTTCCAAGACCTGCCGGTAAAGAAGCTATACTGTATATATAGCGGTTTGACGCCGAAGGGAGCGTGACACAGCACTGTGTAATACACGCCCTCTATACGTGTGACACGCCCTCTTATTAAAGCAGAAACTGAAAGTATTACACATTAGCCGATAGTAAAATAGTGGTATTAGCTCTATCTTCAAGTCAGATGTGTGTTGCACTTCACAGAAACAGTCGGTGAAAACCCGGAATTGGTTTTACAACCCTCACCCATTCCAAGGCACGTGGTACCCCCTGAGAGCTCCAGATTTGCCTACTCTTATAGAGGGCACAGTTCAAATCTCACAGTGCCAAAGAAGAGCTCTGTTTCGCCCTTTCAAGTTTCACCTGACCACATCTCCCAGGATTATGGGACACAAGCAAAGAGCACAGCCCCTGTCCAGGACTCCCAACAAGATCCAACTAAATCTGTGATGCATCTCACGAGACCTCCAATGCCACTTTCTCCCACATTCCTTGAGTTTAGTTGCTCAATCAGTGATGATGGCTTGAAGGGGGGAATGACACATGAAAGAAGTCGCAAACTGCAGGACCTCATGCGTGAGTATGAAAATCAGTACGACCATTTAAAAAATGCTAAAGCTGAAGTAGCTAGGTTAGAGAGATACAGCTGTTGTTTGAAGCATCAGCTAAAGCAGGAGAGAGAAGAGAGTGATGGTAAACAGAAACAGAATGCAACTGTTAGTCAGTTGGTGGCTGACCTAGAGACGATGAAGCTAAAATGCGACACACGTCAGACAGGGTTGAAAGTACACATTGAAAAATTGGAATCAGAAAAAGAGGAAATTGCAGAGAGGGAGAGAGTGGCTGTCAAAAAATGCAAATTGTTAGAGCAAGAAGCTAGTAGAGTAAGGAAGCTCAGTGACATACACTACGGCACCACCTTGGAGCTCGATCATGCATTCCAAGTCATTCTGGACAGTAAGATAGTGAGTGAAGAGTTTAAGAAGATAGTCAGCGTGTTGAAAGTGGAGGTTGAAAAAAGAAAGGATGCTACATGACCCTAACTCTTTGTGTAAAATAACAGAACTCCAATAGAGTGTAAAAGTAATTAGCGAGTGAAAAAGCGCCCATGCACAATTACTCGTACGCCATCATACATTATTATTATACGAGGTCTCAGTCAAGGCATATTATGCCGTGTGCAAGCATTCTGCAAAACTTAAACCGATTATGACCCTACATTTTACATATCTATGTAGCTCCAATTTGTTTGACGCAATTGCCAATGCCCCAGGATCTAGAGGGTTTCGCCTCGTAACTCCATAGGTTTGTAACAACTGATCAATAGTATACAAGTGGAAAAAAGCATTTCTTCAAAATGAAAGTGGGATATAGGGGGATGACTTGAAGCACCAAAAAGGAAGAAACAAGGGGTCATTACACACCCAATATGCACAAAGCCACATGACACCATCCCTATATCTTTGTTTTATTGTTCATAAGCAAAGTTTATTATGAGACAAAGATATAGGGATGGTGTCATGTGGCTTTGTGCTTGGGTGTGTAATGACCTTGTTTCTTCATTTTTGGTGCTTCAAGTCATCCCCCTATATCCCACTTTCATTTTGAAGAAATGATTTTTCCACTTGTATATAGGGAACACAGTGCTAAGCCACACTACGCACACCAGCTAGCAACAATAATGTTTTATTTTTTGTACCCCAAACACATGAATAGTTTTGATTGGTGTTTCACCTCACTAAGAGCCTTGTGATGAGCAATCTGTAATACAGAAATATTTTGCACTGCCGTTATCTAAATAATTATGCCAAGGCTAGCTAGCTATACAGACCAGCTCCATTCACCAGAAATTGAAGTCAGAAGTTTTGATAAATTGAGTCCACTCAAATCTGTTCCGGGTGGCTGATGAATTACACGTTGCACATGGTAGGCCACTATAGTGGCCCACATGCATGAATAATAATGCAGTAAGAACTTCCCTGTATGAACCCCTATACCACCACTTCTAAAGTATTCAACACACATGATATGCTATAACGCGCGCAACGGACTGCAGTGATGGTTTTGAAAATTCATGTGTATTTCCTACAGTATGCTGCACAACAATAAACCACAGTGATTTTGAGTAGACAGTTTACAAAGACCTAAAAGTCATACAGAAAAGAATGCTAAGCTTTCTCTCTTGATCTCTACTATAGAACCTAGTTCATTCCATCTACCACAAGTTGAGTTCCTAGCCAACGGCAATCAAAGTTGTATATAGTGGGAGGAGAAGATCACTGACTACCCCAACAGCACACCATTATAAACTGCACCTTAGCTATCACCTGTTTGTTTGATTATCTCCGTCACTATCGTAATCCGATATGCACGCCATGCATCGTAAAATTCCCTTCATCATCATT